CAGGCAGGCAGGCAGGCAGGCAGGCAGGCAGGCAGGCACTCAGCCAGCCAGCCAGTTGGTCAACCAGTCAGTCGGTCAGTCAGTCGGTCAGTCAGTCAGCCGGTCGGGCAGGCGGTCCGCCCGCCTGCCCGCCTGCCTGCCTGCCTGCCTGCCTGCCCGCTTGCTCGCCCGCCTGCCTGTCAGTCAGTCAGTCAGTCCGTCTGTCCATTCTTCTGTCCGTCTGTCCATCCTTCCATCCATCCGTCCGTCCTTCCATCTGTCCGTCCGTCCTTCCATCTGTTGGTCTGTCTGTCCGTCCATCTATACGTATGTCCATCAGTCAGTTGGTCAATCAGTAAGTCAGTCACTACCTTTGCGCCCCACATGCTTGCTAGTAATCTAACCTGTCAAACCATTACCATACCAACCTGGTCAGTATTTTCATCAGAGAAGGTAATCGATGTTAGCCTGTAGTTGTTCACCAGTAGATATTCATTGACAAGGAAGTTCAGTGCTCTTATTTCATGTGGCTTGATTGGATCCTACAGAGAAAAAGAATCATAAACAAAAWTAAATGACATGGCATCTGGTGATCTGGACCCTAAAAAAATACTATATGAACCAGCCAAATGCATAATGAGKTTGGATGTAATTAGGGTAGCATACATCAGTTGAAGAAGGTTCTTTTGTATCAGTAGATCCTGGTCCTTTTCTTGAAGGAGATGAACAGTCAGTCCCTGATGGTAATAAAACAATTTAATATTGACTGAGAATCTACACATTAACCTGTTTGGCATGGCAACCCAACATCAAATATAACAAAAGGTTGAGAAATCAAGGCATTTTGCATAAAGCACTGACTTTTTRAATGTTTTAAAAATAAAATAATAAAAAATTCTTGTGAGAGCTTAAATTGAGAAAATGTGTTGTGTCTGGAGTTACATCTAGTTGGCATATAAACATGTAATAAYAAAATAATAATAAAATGTACTCGTATAGCATTTTAAAGAATTGCATTGTTACTACCCTATGAGATAGCTACCATGAAATCCCTCCATTGCTGGCAAACCCCAACGTACCTGCAACTTCTGTCAGTGATCCACGCAGTGCTTTGATGGTTTCATGAGCCTTCCTCAACTCAAATTCAAGTACTGAGCGATAAAAAATAAAATAAACTTTACTCTCTATTTTACACCTCTGATTCATATGTAAAGATAATATCAACAATATTATTTTTTAAGAAAATTTATTTATCAAGGCTACAGCAATTAAGGTTGAAGTAAAGTGTTTTTATCATTAATGGATCCATTGACTGACTGTAGAGCTAGAAATAACAGCTACTTAATGGTTGGCATGATAAATGGCCACAATAGACTACTTCAACAATATTGCAGCCATCTTGAATTGCAAGGCATTGTGGGGCATCCAGGGGGCAGAAAAAGCTTTGATATTAACAGCTCACCACAAGAGAATAAAACAAAAGATGAATTAAGACGGCACATTGATCATCTTTACCCAAAAAAGAAAGACAAACACAAAAAACTCTATATATTTTGTCATCTTTGTTTTCCTTCGCACCCTGGCAAGATGGCTGCTGTATGAACAATGAAGTCCATTGCTAATGGCATCAGCAACTGTTCTTCATTCTGCACTAGCTAATAAACCCCATTTGTGGGCAAATCATATAGAGAGAATAATATCTAAGCCAGCATGTTAGCTTGCATGTTTTCTATTATACTTCAATATAAACAAATTCAGCTGAGTTGACCTTCAGAACGAACTCAAGGTCAATCAATCAGAATTGAGGATTCAACATTATATTCGGTTAGCATTTCCCRTGATTCTGCAGAGAGAACCTATGAAATATGACAATTCCATTCTCTAAATCG